CCCCCGGGGCGGGGCCAATTTTGACCTCAGGGCTTTTATTTGAACAAACTTTGTAGACACGCACTAGAAGATGTTTCATGCTTAATATTTAAACTCTAGCTATTTGGGTTTTTTCAAAGAAGATTATTTAAGTTTTTGCTATACACATACATGTATAAGGAAAATCAATGACCCCCGAGGCGGGGCCAATTTCGACCCTAGGGCTTTTATTTGAACAAACTTGGTAGACACCCATTAGAAGATGTTTCATGCTGAATATCTTAGCTCTAGCTCTTTGAGTTCTTTCAAAGAAGATTTTGTAAGTTTTTACTATATGCATATAGGGAAAATCAATGACCCCCTGGGGCGGGGCCATTTTTAACCCTAGGGCTTTTATTTGAACAAACTTGGTACACACTCATTAGAAGATGTTTCATGCTGAATATCTTAGCTCTAGCTCTTTGGGTTCTTTAAATGAAGAATTTTTAAGTTTTTACTATATGCATATAGGGAAAATCAATGACCCCCTGGGGCGGGCCAATTTTGACCCCAGGGCTTTTATTTGAACAAACTTGGTACACACTCATTAGAAGATGTTTCATGCTGAATATCTTAGCTCTAGCTCTTTGGGTTCTTTAAAAGAAGAATTTTTAAGTTTTTACTATATGCATATAGGGAAAATCAATGACCCCCTGGGGCGGGGCCAATTTTGACCCCAGGGATTTTATTTGAACAAACTTGGTAGACACTCACTAGAAGATGTTTCATGCCAAATATCTAAGCTCTAGCTCTTAGGGTTTTTTAAAAGAAGATATTTAAAGTTTTTTCTTTCGGTTGCCATGGCAACCAGAGTTCTGCATGGAATTAAATTCTTTGAACAATTTTTAAAGGTGACCACCAAAGGAACATTCCTGTGAAGTTTGGATGAAATTGGCTTAGTGGTTTATGAGGAGATGTCATTTAAAGTAAAAGTTTACGGACGGACGGACGACGGACGGACGACGGACGAAAAGCGATCACAAAAGCTCACCCTGTCACTTTGTGACAGGTGAGCTAAAAAGTGTTTGGGGCCTAAATAGGGCATTTTTTCACTGTTTGAGGCCTCAAAAAGGGGGGGTTGAAAAGCCGTCATAACTTGTCTAGATGAGGTAAAGGATTAATATTTCCTAAGAATGTAAATATTTCCAGAGCATATAATTATTTCAGAGCATAAAATTATATTAATGTTCCCAGAGCATAATATTTTTATAAGCACTTAATAGAAAATAATATTTCAAGAATCTAATATTTTCAGAGCAGAATAGAAAAAGCATAACATTCCAGAATATTAAATTTCTTGAGCATAATATTTCAAAAGCATAATATTTTTAGTCCATTTAATAGAAAATATTTCAGAAGTGCATGTCCTGCGAGAGCATTATATCTTAAAGAACATAGTATTTCATGAGTCTGCATAGAATTTCTAGAGCATATTAATATTCGTTGAGCTAAAACAACTTGATTGAACAAATAACCCACAGAAAATTGTTTGGTAATAAATTTCTTTGAAAAAAGCTACCCCGGTATATCATGAGAGATAATTTCATTTAAATGCATATCAACAAGTGACCAATATATCATTTTACCAGAAGAACTACTTAAGGTAGCTCGCTACTTTCCGACCGAAATTTGACAATATCTCAGATCTTGATGATTTTTGGTATACAGACATGTAGATATGTAAGCTTTACTTCTGCAGCATTATTTTATAAATAAACAGCGTTACTATGACGTCAAAGCGCCCTCTATCGGTGGCGGCGAAATTGCGTCTTTTTTATCAATAAACCGGTCTGTTATTATCAATTTTCATCCGATTTCCTTCATTTTAATTTTATAATGTTCAGTAAATGTATGTCTTTGTAACGATGTCTTTCTTGAACATTTGCTTAATACTCTGCGATTCTACGTTATTTTCCCTCACGTTCTGACGTCCATATTTGATGCAAATATCGCGCGATATCGCAATAAAGATTGTGAAATAATAAAAAATCAACACGGTGAATTTTGCTATAATTTTTTTAACATGTAGTGAAGTCATAAAAGAAAATATTTATGCAATAAAAATATAGGGTCAACGCGTAAGATATTTTGCTATTACTATTTGAATATAAAATAAAGGGTGAGTAAAACGTAATGATTTTGGTGACGTCAAATATTTTTCTCAAGGAAATTTTCACGACTTTTTCGATAAATAACATACTGACAGGAATAAAAATGTGTGAAAACCATCAACAACAATAGTTTGTAGACATGTTCCGTAAAAATGTTCTTTTAAAAGTCCTGTCAGATGCCTGCATTTCGATGAATATCTTCAATTATATACATGTACAACAAATCAGGGTATAACTGTCTGCAAAAGTTGGTATCAATCGCTGAAAAACTGCAACGAATGGATATAAATACCTCGAGGACTGAAAGACAATTCAGAATATTGAAAGATATAATTAAAAGGCCACATAAGTGGAAATTATAAAACATAAATTTTGCAAAGAATGTCAGAAAAAAAGAATGAAAAGGCTGGTGCAGTCGCAATGTCATCATGTTATGTGTATCTCGGTACAACATAAACTTCCATGTTATCATATGTAACAATTTTGAATTGTATATATCAGTTAGTAGGAACAGATACATAGATAACATCTATGTCTGTGGTAGGAAATGAATCAAATTTACGTTTCAAAAATATATGATCAACTGGAAGAAGCAACGATTTGTACGTAAGCCATGATTCACTGATAGTCACTTATTTCGACACATTTGTATGCATATCTATTTGAATTGTAGTTTTACGATGTGTTTTGACACCGAGGCTCGTCTGCCTTTATGTGATTTTATGAAAGTGTTTAAAGGCTGAATGTAACGTAAAATAAATATTCTACGGGTATAAGCTAAGCGACCTAATATTCTTACTTCATTCATACAGCAATATGTGAATCTTATTTTTTGCGCTAAAACTAGTTAATTCATATAATAATATAACACTTTAACAACATCACATTATAAAATTAGAATTAAAAGATGTATGGGACTGTATCCTGCAAATTAGAAAAGTATTTAAAAGGGGATTGTCGGATTAAACATTGTAAATGTGCTCATCTAGCGCATGCTTTCAATGAGAAAATAATCAACAATTTAAAAAATATACGTTTCATCAAGTCCCTGTGTTGTTTATACTTACTATCGTAATGTTTGACGTAAGAAAATTGTTATTTGGTATTATTCTTTGAACTCCAACAACTATTAACGTCACCAAAATCATAACGTTTCACTCACCTTTATTTTATTTTAAAACAGTAATAGCAAAATATCTTACGCGTTGACCCTATATTTTTATTGCATAAATATTTTCCTTCACTATCTCACTACACGCTCGGAAAATTATAGCAAAATTCACCGTGTTGATTTTTTTTTATTACACAATCTTTAATGCGATATCGCGCGATATTTGCATCAAATATGGACGTCAGAACGTAGAGAAAAATGACGTAAAATCGCAGACTATTAAGTAAATGTTAAAGAAAGACATCATTACAAAGACATACATTTACTGAACATTATGATATTAAAATGAAGGAAATCGGATGAAAATTGATAAGAACAGACCGGTTTATTGATAAAAAAGACGCAATTTCACCGCCACCGATAGAGGGCGCTTTGACGTCAGAGTAACGCTGTTTATTTATAAAATAATACTGCAGAATTAAAGCTCACATATTTATATGTTTGCATACCAAAAATCATCAAGATCTGAGATGTTGTCATATTTCGGTCGGAAAGTAGCGAGCTACCTTAAGTAAATGGTAATGCATTCATGTACAGGACTTTTGTTGTCATAAAGTGTGCAATATCACTTAATTTTTATATGTAAAATTTTACAAGTCAGTGCATACTTCTATAATTTAGCATCAATTGTTAATACAGTCAACTATCGTTATCTTGACATTGTTTTTCTTGCATATCAGACTGGCGTTTCCGTTAGTTTTACCCATGCCGGAAATTTCATCTGGCATGGGGGGTTCCAGATGAGTCGCGTGCTGTACAATGGCACGATAAAGATGACGTCATTTTACCGTTATGAATGATTTTGTAATTCATACGCTGTTGAATGAAAGTAGTTACGGTTGTAATGATATAAATTTTCATTGAAAATAAAGATAAAGAATTTAAAATATAATGGAATATGGTAGAATATGCAAGAAAAAATATCTGACATATGTTTGCGGTTCGGATCGGAATATCCGTCCCTCGGTCACCCGCCCATGGGCGGGTCACCTCGGGACGGATATTCCGATCCGAACCGCAAAATATGACAGATATTATTATTCTCGATATTCTTGATGAAAATTTGAAAGATCCGATTTTCTCCCTTCTTTATCTATACTGGATATATTTGTTTATCTTGACATTTTTATTTCGATATTTTAAATATCTCGGAGTAAAATTTCAGTTCTTTTCACACTATTATTTTTTGTTTATCTCGACTAACAATTTTTCGTCTGTCCCCTGTAGAGGTATGAAAAACACAAAACAGATGATAATCGCTCAATAGCGCATGTCATAATGATGATTATGTTTGTAACAAGTCAAGCTGATTTTATAAAAGTTTCACATCATTAGAAAATCAAACAATCTTTAGAAGAGCCTGATAACTAACCGGGAAGGATATCTGGATCGACCACGCTGAAAACAATGTTTTCGCTATAGTGATGTATTACTGAGTAAACCTCACTATGTGTATTTATCACGTTTATCAGTATTTTCCGCTAATGTAACTTTTTTAAAATATTGGCTTCATGATATAAAGCTCAAGCAAGCAAAACATGGAGATATCATTAGACTATAGTCTATAGGAATGCACAAAAGTCATGTCTTTTGTAAAAATCAAGTTCTATCTGGTTCAAACCCTTATACGTTTATCTCAACATTTCGTTATCTCGATATTTTTTGGATAGTCCCAATGACTTCGAGATAACGAGAGTCAACTGTATCATAATATAGTGATATTATCTAGGTTACATCATAGCGTATGATAATCACAGCGTGTAGAACACTGAGGAACGCATATGTAACCATGGATATTTCTCTAAATATTCTGGTCTTGTTTTGTTTCTTAAAAGTGTTTACAGCAGGTAAGATTTTTCTATAATAATTATCATCATACTGCAAAAACTAAAACACTTAATAATGAAAAATAAATTATTAAAGGAACTGACTTTAGCTGTTTAAAGCGTTAATTTTGTATTCTAAACGGCATCTTATTGTAATGACTTAATCGTTCTTCGTTTGCATGCATGATTTAATATGAAATCGTTATAACAGATTGTATGTGTACCAGTATTCTAAACTGCATTCCTTGAACATTTTTGTCCACAGTTTATGGCGCAAGACCATCTTTCATTATTCCGGTTACAAATATCACAGTTGTAGAAGGAAATACAGCCATGTTGCCTTGTGCTGTAAAAAACCTTGGCGATCATAAGGTAAATGAAATGTGCCATTTTATTTTTTGTATCAGTGCCTTTATAGTTTATTTGAGATATACTTTTAAATTACATAATAAATATATACAGTAACATTTTAAAACACCAGACCCCAGAGCTTTTATTTGAACAAACTTAGTAGACACTGACTAAATGATGTTTCATGCCAAATATTTAAGCTCTAGCTCTATCGATTTTTAAAAGAAGATTTTTTAAGTTTTTTTCTTTCGGTTGCAATGGCAACCAGACTTCTGCATGGAATTACATGTATATTCTTTGAACAATTTTTAAAGTTGGCTACCACAGGAACATTCCTGTGAAGTTTGGATGAAATTGGCTTTGCTGTTTATGAGGAGATGTCATTTAAAGTAAATGTTTATGGACCGACGACGGACGGACAGACTGACGAAAAGCGATCACAAAAGCTAACCATGTCACTTTGTGACAGGTGAGCTAAAAATATAGCCACTAATAGCAAAAGCCGGCAAAAATCAAGCAAAATTTAGACATTTGTCCTTGAAGGTCAAGGTCATTTATGAATGAAAGTCAAGTTTAGTCTGGTCTACTTGAAGGTCATGTCCCAAGGGTTGTTGTGACCAAGTATGAAGACAATACACCAACAACTTAAAAAGTTATGATCAAGGTTAAAGTTTGTGGCAGCAACTGCAACGTCAACTCTGACATGACTGTAACAGTACCCCTATTTATTTTCCAAAAACAAATCAAATTTACAGAAATGATCATGTGAGTCCTTGTTTTTGTTTGTTTGTTTGTTTCATTTTACGCCTTTTTCCAACAGTATTTCAGTCATATATGCGGGTAGTTTCCTAACCATCGTTCCTGGAGAGTTACACCAGTACTAGACTACCTTCCTCCGCGCTAAACTACCAAAGCATCTCCCAAAGCATGTGAGTCCTTTATTTGAAATAGAATCTAAGACTGTTAGCTACTGTCAACTATTTTTATGTCTTTTTAAAGGTAATATGGACAAGTCCTTCACGGTTATTATTGACCCACATGGATCGTAGAATAATAGATGACACTCGTTACTCCGTAGAAAGACCATTTAGCAGTGACTGGAACCTGCGCATTCAAAATGTTAGGTCCAGTGACAGAGGTAACTATATCTGTCAAGTAAACACCAATCCGGTCATATCAACAATTGTCATCCTTGACGTTAAAGGTAAATTGATTTTCATAAATGTTTCATTTAATGTATTTTGAAATATAGTTAATTTAAGAATAATTTGGAACACAATACTATACATTTTGAATTTTGTGGTTGTAATAGTTTCTTGATTTACAATTCATTAAATTAATAAAATTGTACAAAAAAGTAACTCATTAATGATATTATAATATATTTGTATAACATTTACTTTGTTTACATTTTACTACATTTATGACAAACTATTTCACATTTATCCCTACTCTTTTTTTCAAGTAACAAGCATCTTACATTTCTCTAAAACCATTTTTTTTTAAACATTTTAAAATTCATGTTTGCTCTGTGTAGAGAAGGAGTTTTTCTCCGAGGCATAATGTGCCTTAGATTGAAGTTGGACATAAGACACAGGGGGTCACAATAGTTCACCTTGAGCACTCTGTGATCAGGTTGTGAAGGTGAGCTAAAAATGGCACTGCTAGTCCGTCTTGGCACTCAGATCATGCTAAGAATAATTCCTCAGTAATAATCACTCTTACAAAAATGTTGCTACTTCAATAATTACATTTATAATTAAATTAATAAATTTAATTGTATATGAAGAGAATCACATTTTCTTTGTGCAGTTCCTGCACAGATTAGACATGATGTTTCAAGCAGAGATGTGATATTGAAAGAAGGTGAAACATTGTCTCTACAATGTAACGCCACCGGGATTCCGCAGCCTACAGTCAAATGGTATAAACTACAATCAGGACACAAGCAGGGTAAGTTGCCAACCTTAAATATCACGCTGAAACTACTGACCTGGAAAAAGAGTTACTTCCCTGTCATGGAAATCATTCAATCTCAGAAATGCATCTTTTTTACACCCTCCTAGTTATATTTATATCATGTGACCTTGAGGATTTAAGCCATAAGCCATTTCAATCAATCAGTGCAAAACAGATATAACTCCTTCACATTGTAATTTGTGTTACAGCTGTTTTGCACAAAACCAACCCTTGATAGTTTTACTTCTTATTTCTGTTGAAGAATCTGTTTGTCTGGTACAATTTTCTGTATCCGATATTATTTGTTACCATATTTTAACCAAGTTTATGTATTTTACAGACATTAACAGTTCTGGTGGGGTGCTGACAATACCAAATGTAACCAGAAAGAATGCCGGTACATACGAGTGCGTGGCTTTTAATGGCTGGTCAGACAGCAGGCAAATTGGCGTCGTCATACAAAGTACATACTGTTTAAATAGAGTAAAATAAAAAAACTTATCTTAACACTTGCACCCAAGCCCTTTCAAAGCTATTTCAGGAATACAGTAAACTTCATTTATAGCAAACATGGTTATAGCGAACTTCCGGCTATAAGGAACAATTTATTTTGGCCCGAATTTTGCCCTTCTTTATTTAATATAAAAATATACGGTTATAGCGAACATGGTTATAAGAAATTATCGCTTATAAGGAACTCATTTCTTTGTCCCAATTTAGTTAAAAGTGCAGAAAATTACACTTTAATAACGAACTCCAAATATCGTCTATTCGTAAATATATCCCGCATTTTCAACTTTCGTTTTCATTGGCACATAATAAAACTCGCAGAGGTACCGTTTATTGTTGTATGTCATTCAATATATCTATGAAAATGAATTTGTAGAAGTATGTAATAGTTTTCTATTTAGGATATTTTTAGCACGAGTTCTTGTCGGTAATTCCTTTTATTCTATAATTTCTTTTCTTTAATAGTTTTGCTTGAGTAAAATAATTATCGGTTTTCAACATAATCACGCATACAAAGTATGCTTGATTGAAATGAAAAGAAATCTATATATTTGATTAGTAAAAGTCACCCTTAAAATATAATAGAAGATATTCAATATAAAAGGAAGAAAAATGGTAAATCTTGTTTATTCTTATTTATTGAATGAAAACGAAAAGCACTTAGTTAAGAAACAAAATATGATTTTTTATGAAAAATTGAGAAACGGAGTAAAACTAAAACAGAAATAGCAAAGGATTTTCAAATTCCAAAATGTACGCTCTCGGGTATTGTGTCTGAAAAAGAAATAAATGACTAATTATTCTTAATCAAATGCTATTAAAAATGGCGGACGATGTTTAACAATCAGTTTGTTATATGTATATCTGTTCGCTATAAAAACTTTTGATACAAGGAACTAATTCGCTATATGCTTACAAGGAACTCCGGATATAAGGAACAGATTTTGAATGTCCCAATGAGTTCGTTATAAGCGGAGTTTACTGTAATCGCTATTGAGAAATTAAAAAAAGTTGAAAATCTAAGTTTTTTTCACATGTGTATGATCATAAAACCTTAATCTGTACTTTTAAGATACAAATCAAAAGAAACTGTCGAAATAGTTCATTTTTTTTTCACAAGTTTTTCACAAGTTTTCACAATTTGAGTTTTTGAATTGCTTTTTGAAAGTTGGACATTCTGATGCTTTTTTGGATTGAAGTGCACAGACGTTTTTTGTTTTCTTCAGTTGCTCCAAAGGTGAACATCCCCTACAAAAGGGTTGGTCAGAGTGTAGGGAGAGAAGTCATATTGGATTGTGAAATTACAGCTGATCCATTGGCTGATATGCACTGGCTAAAGGGTAACATCAGCCTTCACAACCTGAACAATGACAAATACCAGGTACATGATGCCACATTCACATTTTTCATTTCAGTGTTTACAGTGCAGATTATTTCTCAGAATATTCTGACAGAAATGAGCATGCTGTTATATAAGATGAAGGTTCCAGACAAATCTCCAATCAAACATTGACCTAGGGCATGTTCAATCCAGTCATACATTGACCTAGGGCAGGTTCAATACAGTCATATATTGACCTAGGGCATGTTCAACCCCAATCCAGTCATATATTGACCTAGGGCATGTTCAATCCAGTCATACATTGACCTAGGGCGTGTTCTCTCCAGTCATACATTGACCTAGGGTGTGTTCTCTCCAGTCAAACATTGACCTAGGGCATGTTCAATCCAGTCATATATTGACCTAGGGGCATGTTCAATCCAGTCCATACATTGACCTAGGGCATGTTCAATCCAGTCATACATTGACCTAGGGTGTGTTCTCTCCAGTCAAACATTGACCTAGGGCATGTTCAATCAAGTCATATATTGACCTAGGGCATATTTCCTCAAGTCATACATTGACCTAGGGTGTGTTCTATCCAGTCATAAATAGACCTAGGGTGTGTTTTCTCCAGTCATACATTGACCTACTGGGCATATTTTTCTCAAGTCAAACATTGACCTAGGGCAATGTTTCTCCAGTCATACATTGACCTAGGGCATGTTCTCTTCAGTCATGTGTTCAATCCAGTCATACATTGACCTAGGGCATGTTCTATCCAGTCATTTATTGACCTAGGGTGTGTTTTCTCCAGTCATACATTGACCTACTGGGCATATTTTCTCAAGTCAAACATTGACCTAGGGCATGTTCTCTCCAGTCATACATTGACCTAGGGCATGTTCTCTTCAGTCATATATTGACCTAGGGCATGTTCAATCCAGTCATACATTGACCTAGGGCATGTTCAATCCAGTCATACATTGACCTAATCTAGTCATACACCGACCTAGAGTGTGTTTTCTCCAGTCATACATTGACCTAGCACATGTTTTCTCCAGTAAAACATTGACCTAGGGCATGTTCAATCTAGTCATACATTGACCAAGGGTGTGTTCTCTTCAGTCAAAAATTGGCCTAGGGCGTGTTCTCTCTAGTAATGCACTGACCTAGGGTGTGGTCTCTCCCATCATCCATTGACCTAGGGCAATATGCTCTCTCCTGCAAAATGCAAAACATTGATCTAGGGCATGTTCACTCTAGTCAAACATTGACCTTGGGTATATTTTGTAATAGATTAACATTTTCCACAGGAAATCAAATTTTAAATCTTGTCTGTATGCAGGCAAATTAACAGTCAAATAAGCAGAAAATTACACAATATAGCAGGACTGGAAGTTAGAAAGAGACTTTAAATCATCTTACAAAGTACAATTCTAAGTTCATCTATATAACAGTTACTGTTTAAAGGTCTTCTATATTTATAAGCAAATGTCATTGATGCATTATAGATACCTGTAGGGACGCTTTTTTAAAAAAGGCTCAACAATGATATGATGCACTTTTACTAAGAATTGTTATTTCAACAGAAAATAAAAGCTGAAAGCTGCTTTAATAAATTGATGAAAAACAAGCATTTGATAGTATTGCGGGCAATACAGTAGTCCCCTACCGGTCCCTCAAAAAGTTCTTTAATTGTCATACACTCCTGTGTATTGCCATTTATAATGAATTTGAGGATGAAGTCTGTATTTGAAAATATCGACCACAAAACATAATAAAATAAGTTTGTCTATATCACAGTAATGTGTTAAGTTTCCATGCTTAGTAAGGAAATTATTTGTTTTATACAACCTTGTCATATTATTACGATGTGGGATTTTAAAGTAAATCCTATAAGGAATGAAGAAGTTGGAGTGAAAATACCAGTTTCTCGAAAAAAATCTAAGTTCAGGGGGACATAATTCTGGAAATAGTCTTGCTAGAGTATTTAACCTTCTCAAAAAATGTCGAGTGATAATAAGAAACATATATATGAAGTTTGAAGTAGATACATTAGGAAATAAAGAAGTTATTTAAAAAAGACAACATTTTTTCCCCTAAAAAATCTAAGTTCAAGGGAGGTAATACTGATATTTTTTGTGCTAGAGTTATAAACCTTGTCACATATGATGTGGTTGATGACCAGAAACTTATATTTAAAAGTTTGAAGTAAACACCTTAAGAAATAAAGAACATATAGTGAAAAAGCTGAAAAATTTAAATCAGAAATCTTGAAATTCAGGCTATTTGTTGCCATAGCAACCAGAATTTCAACATAGGAAGAAAAAAGAAAAAGATGTGCATAATCTCCAGACTGCCATCTAACAATATTTCAAGTTTCATAAAAATATTTTCAGTACTTTTTGAGTTATCACTGGATCCAGTTTATGTGTTAAATTTGCCATATTTTCAGACTATTTGTTGCCATAGCAACCAGAATTTTCAACATAGGAAGAAAAAAAAAAGTCGTGCATAATCTCCATACTGCCATCTATCCATATATCAAGTTTCATAAAAATATTTTCAGTACTTTTTGCGTTATCGCGGGATCCAGTTTTGTGGACGGACGGACTGACGGACTGACAGACTGACAGACAGACAGACAGACGGACAGACAGACGGACAGACGGACGGAGGGTAAACCTAAAGTCCCCTCCGGTTAAACCGGTAGGGGACTAATTATAAGGCTAGTTAAAGTAACAATTTAAAGATTAACATGATTATAAATCCTTATTTTTCAGACGGAACTCTACAGTAGTGACACAGACAATATCACAAAAAACCTGTATTTGACAATAATACACCTGCAGAAAGATGACTTTGGGAATTATACATGCTTTGCAAGCAATTCCATAGGCACAGATTATGACACTGTGAAAGTATATGGTAAAATGTTCCCTTGAGTTTTTTATTGTTGTTTTGTTTTACCTCACACCAACTAGGAAAAATACGTGTTATTCAAGCAATTCCATTGACACAGATTTTGACACTGTGGAAGTGTACGGTAAAATGTTTCCTTGGTTTTTATTGTTGTTTTGTTTTACCTCACCACACCAACACTGTTAAAGCCATATGACGACTTTCCAGCTTTATTTTTGCAGAGAGACCTCAGGTGCCCCTCCATATATGAATCCAGGTACTTAAGGGCACCTGAGTAGAATCGCCAATGTTGGATAGCTTCCTCATATGAAAAAATTCCAAAGACCAGGATGGGATTTGAACCCACAGCGATGAGGGGCAAGTGGTTTGAAGTTAGGAACCTTAACCACTAGCCACAGACGCCACTATATTCCCTTGTTTGTTTTCAAATGTACACCTTATTCAAAGCAAAATAGTTATTAGGTTTTTACACTACACTGTATATTGAATGATCTTGTTCAAAAGAAATTGTAACTCAAAAAAGTATCTGTGATCAATTTTAAGGTCAGGCCATCAGTGATGACATGTGTTTTCTCATGATAGCCAATTTCATGTTGCAGCTACTGTGTAGCAGGAGACCCAAAATTCATTAACATGCCAAAACACATTTTTTTATTCAAGCCCCCCATAACTCAGCTGAAAACCCTTCAACTAGAAAACCAGTGTGATATGTGCAAGTACTTGTGCTACCGATCAATCCTGTAAAAATCCATTATTGTTGCTTTTATATTGAAGGGCCATAACTCTGCCAAAAATCATTTAAGTGGAAAACCTTTGTTATATGCTGTAAAGTTTCAATGAAATTGCATTAGAAGTATAAAAGGTAGTCCAGAAAATTTTTGAAAATAAAAATAATTAAAGGGCCATAACTCTGACAAAAATTGTTGATTCGTTGAACCAAAAAAAAAACAATGATATGCACAACTAGACTTGGTACTGATCATTCCTATAAAGTTTGGTTGAAATTGCATCTGTAGTTTCTAAGAAGTAATAGTGCGGACAAGATTCTGTGTAGCTGGCAACACACACAAAACACCTTTTTTATTCAAGGTCCATGACTCTGCCAAAAATCATTTAACTGGAAAACCCGTGTTTTATGGGCAAGTACTTGAGCTACAGATCAATCCTGTAAAGTTTCATTGAAATTGCTTCAGTGGTATAGGATAAGTAATCAGACCAACCTTAAAAAATAAAAGTCATTAAAGGGCTATAACTTTGACAAAAATCATTGAATCGGAAAATGCCTACAATGTGCACAACTAGACTTGGTACTGATCATTCCTGTAAAGTTTGGGAGAAAATTGCATCAGTAGTTTCTGAGGAGTAGACCTGACACGTTAAGTGACGGACAGACAGACAGACAGACAGACAGACAGATGATGGAGAAGTGATCCCTATAAAACATTGACCTAGGGCATGTTCAATCTAGTCATACATTGACCAAGGGTGTGTTCTCTTCAGTCAAAAATTGGCCTAGGGCGTGTTCTCTCTAGTAATGCACTGACCTAGGGTGTGGTCTCTCCCATCATCCATTGACCTAGGGCAATATGCTCTTCTCCTGCAAAATGCAAAACATTGATCTAGGGCATGTTCACTCTAGTCAAACATTGACCTTGGGTATATTTTTGTAATAGATTAACATTTTCCACAGGAAATCAAATTTTAAATCTTGTCTGTATGCAGGCAAATTAACAGTCAAATAAGCAGAAAATTACAACAATATAGCAGGACTGGAAGTTAGAAAGAGACTTTAAATCATCTTACAAAGTACAATTCTAAGTTCATCTATATAACAGTTACTGTTTAAAGGTCTTCTATATTTATAAGCAAATGTCATTGATGCATTATAGATACCTGTAGGGACGCTTTTTTAAAAAAGGCTCAACAATGATGATGATGCACTTTTACTAAGAATTGTTATTTCAACAGAAAATAAAAGCTGAAAGCTGCTTTAATAAAATTGATGAAAAACAAGCATTTGATAGTATTGCGGGCAATACAGTAGTCCCCTACCGGTCCCTCAAAAAGTTCTTTAATTGTCATACACTCCTGTGTATTGCCATTTATAATGAATTTGAGGATGAAGTCTGTATTTGAAAATATCGACCACAAAACATAATAAAATAAGTTTGTCTATATCACAGTAATGTGTTAAGTTTCCATGCTTAGTAAGGAAATTATGTTTATACAATATTTAAAGTTTGAAGTAAACACCTTAAGAAATAAAGAACATATAGTGAAAAAGCTGAAAAATTTAAATCAGAAATCTTGAAATTCAGGCTATTTGTTGCCATAGCAACCAGAATTTTCAACATAGGAAGAAAAGAAAAAAGAAAAAGATGTGCATAATCTCCAGACTGCCATCTACCCATATTTCAAGTTTCATAAAAATATTTTCAGTACTTTTTGAGTTATCACTGGATCCAGTTTATGTGTTAAATTTGCCATATTTTCAGACTATTTGTTGCCATAGCCCAACCAGAATTTTTTTTTTTTTTTTTTCAAACATAGGAAGAAAAAAAAAAAGTCGTGCATAATCTCCATACTGCCATCTATCCATATATCAAGTTTCATAAAAATATTTTCAGTACTTTTTGCGTTATCGCGGGATCCAGTTTTGTGGACGGACGGACTTACTGACAGACAGACAGACAGACGGACAGACAGACGGACAGACGGACGGAGGGTAAACCTAAAGTCCCCTCCGGTTAAACCGGTAGGGGACTAATTATAAGGCTAGTTAAAGTAACAATTTAAAGATTAACATGATTATAAATCCTTATTTTTCAGACGGAACTCTACAGTAGTGACACAGACAATATCACAAAAACCTGTATTTGACAATAATACACCTGCAGAAAGATGACTTTGGGAATTATACATGCTATGCAAGCAATTCCATAGGCACAGATTATGACACTGTGAAAGTATATGGTAAAATGTTCCCTTGAGTTTTTTATTGTTGTTTTTGTTTTACCTCACACCAACTAGGAAAAATACGTGTTATTCAAGCAATTCCATTGACACAGATTTTGACACTGTGGAAGTGTACGGTAAAAATGTTTCCTTGGTTTTTCTTGTTGTTTTGTTTTACCTCACCACACCAACACTGTTTAAAGCCATATGACGACTTTCCAGCTTTATTTTTGCAGAGAGACCTCAGGTGCCCCTCCATATATGAATCCAGGTACTTAAGGGCACCTGAGTAGAATCGCCAATGTTGGATAGCTTCCTCATATGAAAAAATTCCAAAGACCAGGATGGGATTTGAACCCACAGCGATGAGGGGCAAGTGGTTTGAAGTTAGGAACCTTAACCACTAGCCACAGACGCCACTATATTCCCTTGTTTGTTTTCAAATGTACACCTTATTCAAAGCAAAATAGTTATTAGGTTTTTACACTACACTGTATATTGAATGATCTTGTTCAAAAGAAATTGTAACTCAAAAAAGTATCTGTGATCAATTTTAAGGTCAGGCCATCAGTGATGACATGTGTTTTCTCATGATAGCCAATTTCATGTTGCAGCTACTGTGTAGCAGGAGACCCAAAATTCATTAACATGCCCAAAACACATTTTTTTTTTTTATTCAAGCCCCCCATAACTCAGCTGAAAACCCTTCAACTAGAAAACCAGTGTGATATGTGCAAGTACTTGTGCTACGATCAATCCTGTAAAAATCCATTATTGTTGCTTTTATATTGAAGGGCCATAACTCTGCCAAAAATCATTTAAGTGGAAAACCTTTGTTATATGCTGTAAAGTTTCAATGAAATTGCATTAGAAGTATAAAAGGTAGTCCAGAAAATTTTTGAAAATAAAAATAATTAAAGGGCCATAACTCTGACAAAAATTGTTGATTCGTTGAACCAAAAAAAAACAATGATATGCACAACTAGACTTGTACTGATCATTCCTATAAAGTTTGGTTGAAATTGCATCTATAGTTTCTAAGCAGTAATAGTGCGGACAAGATTCTGTGTAGCTGGCAACACACACAAAACACCTTTTTTATTCAAGGTCCATGACTCTGCCAAAAATCATTTAACTGGAAAACCCGTGTTTTATGGGCAAGTACTTGAGCTACAGATCAATCCTGTAAAGTTTCATTGAAATTGCTTCAGTGGTACAAATGTATAGGAGAAGTAATCAGACCAAACTTAAAAAATAAAAGTCATTAAAGGGCTATAACTTTGACAAAAATCATTGAATCGGAAAATGCCTACAATGTGCACAACTAGACTTGGTACTCATCATTTCTGTAAAGTTTGGGAGAAAATTGCATCAGTAGTTTCTGAGGAGTAGACCTGACACGTTAAGTGACGGACAGACAGACAGACCGACAGACAGACGATGGAGAAGTGATCCCTATATGTCGCCACTACTCCGTAGAGGCGACACAAAAAAGACAAACAAGTAAAAACAGAATGAATAGGATCAAATAGAATTTACTGTTATCTAATTGTTCTCCTGGAAGTCATAGAGGATATTTGTTTGTTTTTGTGTAAGATGAAATTTTATTTCATCGAGTGGGCTTTAAAAACAGTATTCTCAAGAGTGGCGTAGCCACGAGTGAGAATACTGTTTTTAAAGTTCACGAGATGAAATAAAATTACATCTTACACAACAAACAAACAAATTTTCGTTTTTATTTTATGCTAAAAAACAAGTTTAAACGAAATTTCCATAAATTAAACATAAAGTATTAAAATCTGTTTCCCCATTGAGAGCCTCATTTCGTGCGAATTTCTCATTAAAAAACAAGAAGTCTTGAGCTGAAAAATAAGTCCGACAATCAACATTAAATGACAGTGATATTATTTATTTTGTTTAAAAAATATGAATGATCGCTTGTTTTAATAATAAAAACAAACAATTCGTGTAGGAGAAAATTCCAACCATCCATCCATATTTCTGTTACTTACTTACTGCGAATTTATATTAGACCTGGCTTTGTTAAATGTAAGCGGCAGCCATTTTTTAAAGTTGTGTATTT